ACAATTTTGCTTAAGCGATGAATCTTGATTTGTTAACCGTTGATCTTGTTTTCCGTACTGAGTACCAATGCTACCGACGCCAGAGAGGCAGCTCCCACACCTGGACAGCTCTGGACTGGATATAGAACAAGTCCAATTGTGAATGATTTAACGCTCCGTTTCAATTTTCCATTCGATATTGGCGTTGACGACTATATTTGAGCCGGGAGACTATCTTTACTCCAACGGTGTTTCTTATTTACTATTATGTGAAAAAAGTAAAACTCTTCTCTCCTTCACCCGTAAAAACACACGCTCAGACCAAATTCACTACAGACACGCACGACTAGGGCTACCATATCAAAAACTTGAAAAGGAGGACATTTCATTTGAGGTTTGGACATTAATGAGGAATGATGAGAAAAAAGTTTTTATCAAACGTTTCAATAATATGTGCGCTATCACAAAATTCATGATTTGCAAAGTTTCAATTGAGATTTTTCATAACTTGTAGTCGTTACCAATTCAACTCATATTCTCGTTATGCTTCTGAAAAATGCATCAAACTACACGCTAACTTGAAAGTACCCATTAATGGTTGAAAAAGACCCATTTTGAAGAAAAGTGGCTTAACTCATTAAATGAGTAAATTGTTTACCCATTAATGAGTATCTGTTACCCATTAATGAGTAATTGTTAATCATTAATGGGTACTCATTAATGAGTACTTTCAAGTTAGCGTGTAGCCTTCATAATGCATTTTTGATACTTGAAAATGATCTAGTAAACCTGATTTGCATGAAAACTACAGCTTTACAGCCTTAAACCCATCCCAACTTTTATCATGTACAAAAATCAGGATACATGTCATCGCTGATTGAAACCAACATAGAACATCTAAGCAACCTGTTAATTTTACAATTGATTCAGCATAGGACTCTCCCAACTAACTATTTTAGCTGCAGATTAGATTATACAGCAAAAAAAATTGGATTATACAGCTAATTTTTGCCTGTATAAGCTAGTCTGCAGCTAAAATTGTTTGTTGGGTAAGGCCGCTGCCATAGTGGGATCGAAGAGGCGCGCTTAGCGTTCTATACAAAAGAATTACTAATATTGATATTATCCCTTACATTCGATTTACGCTTCACGTGCCTCTTTGCTCTCAGTATGGCAGCGGCCTAAACAAATCAAACGTTACTATTCAAATCGACGCATCTGCTTTTGCCAACAATCTCTTCAATCGACAATTTGTCTTAACTGCTAACTCACCCACGTAAATAATCACCATCATCAGGTAGAGGAAGCTTTCACCTACTAACAGGTGTTGTTAGTTTCTGTGAGTGAGCTTGCAGTTGCCACAAATCGTCGATTGAAGTGATTGTTTACAAAATCAGATACGTCGACTTGAATAGTTATGCTTGAAATACCTAAAATCCTAAGAACCAGAACGTCAAAATCGAACACATGTTGGATTCCATCTGTGTGGCTGTGTTCCATTTGGTGAATTTTAACTTGAATTTGACAGATAGAACATTTTCAAATGAACCTGCTATTGACCAGGAATCAATTTAATAACATATGGTAACCCTACGCACGACGTGAAACACTCATTTGTAGTGACTTACTAGACTTAAAAGGATCTTTATTTCTTGTATTTATGTGGTTAACATGTATGACTTATCAAGTGTCACAGATGCGTCTTTTCAACTTTAGTTCTTATGAAATTTCAATTATTATTAATTACAGTTCCTAGTCCTATCAGGCCTGTTTAGAAAATGACCACCTTGGTGGGATTGATTTGTGTCTCATATGTAGTAGGTCCATTTTATGTTTAATATGCTTGTAGCGAAATAATGCTTCAACAGCGCTCTTGTTTCTTGAGAGGTTAACCCTCGCCAGCTTTTAGGTGAGTGAACTCGAGAGCACATTAAATTCATTTCTCTAGATAGAGTGATTTTAGTTTTCACCACAGAAATTCTCAATAAGCACTCTCGCACACTTGGATTGTCATGTTCTCACCGTCAGGGGTTGAAACAGTTGACGTTTTTTACTACACTCGCTTCGTTGTCGTGCGCGACAGTCTGTTTGTATTCGAACACTCATGCTCTACCGTCGTCTCTCTCACACAACACGAGCGGTAGAATAACATTCTAACTAAAAGAAAATTATCAAAATAGCTATCATATGACATGTGTGATTTCGTTGTAATACATCAAATTAAAATCAAACCATTTCTGATCAGAAATATTATTACTAGGACATCATTGCTTGCTATTTTCAGAATTCACACAAGCACACCATCAGCAGCTCTTATTATGAGAAAAACTAAAATACATACATTCGTGACGGTCTTTGGCAACAGTGTCGTATGACAGAGCCTGTCATACGACATTTTAGTTTGGTACTGTACTATGATAGCTTGCTTTGCAAGTGTCGGAGGCAAAGGCAGTCAATTATCACAGAAAATGTGTCGACTACCGTGACCGCTTACAAGACTGCTCACCGTAAACGTGGTGATTTTCTCGCATGAGTTACAATGCATACATCCTCAGAGGAGGCAAAATATACGTACGCTAGAGCCGCATTTGGGTGAAATGACATGCCTAACAACCCCTTGCTGAAGAAAGTACGGAGTTAGAATGCCTCTAAAAAAGTTATAACTGTTCAAATATTTCTGGTTTCAATTAAATGCCACAAATCACTTTTCTTGCCAACACTGCCGATGTACCAATGAAAGTCTGATTCCAAACTGACATAATTTCGAAGTTTGCTATCTTATCGATTTGGTATGTCTAGATGAAGTAGTGAGATTATATGATTATGCTAAACGAGACATTCCTTATGATAATGGACGCACTCTCACTGGGATGGGTGCTCAGGAAGAACTTCAATGGTTTCTTGGGAACAATTCAATCAGCTTGTAATGGAATTATAAAAAAGAATGCTCTGATTTTATATGGCTGCAGTGTTTGAAGGAATTTTTCGAACTGTGATCCTTTAAGTATTACTCTGAAATCTCTTGAACCTCTCAGAGCTGCTAAACCACGTTGAGATACTTCTCGTTGATAATTTCCTCATTACAATAATTAACTTTTGATTTATGCGAAATGAGCATTTGCAACCTTGCTCTGAAATAACTTTCCAAACTGAAATAATTTCGAAGTTTCCTATCTTATCGATTTGGTATGTTGAATTAGTGTGATAACATGATTGTAACATGCCGACTGTTTAGAACTACAAAACCTGCTTGAAATCTTTAATGCTTGGTGTGAACGTAATTTTATGGTCCTGTGCGTCTCGAACTAGGACTGCCGTTTTGTTTGATTATAACGTTGCTGGGATTGCAGTTCAACACAATCACGTTAAAGGCCTCGGTGTCTTGTTGGATGAAAAGCTCACATACACTCGCCACTTCTCAACCACGATCGACAAAGCTAATCGTCAGCTTGGATTCATGTTCAAGATATCTAAGGATTTTCGTGATCCTCTGTATTTCAAAGCCCTCTACTGTTCATTGGTACGCTCACTACTGGAATTCGCGTGTGTTGTCTGGAATCCCTACCAAGCAGTATGGAGTGGACGATTCGAAGCTGTTCAACGCAAATTCGTCAAATACGCACTGTGCTATCTTCCATGGAGTGACCCGCTGAATTTACCACCGTATGCTGACCACTGTCGTTTACTGGGTTTGGATACTCTTGCTACGCGACGAAACATATCGCAGGTCGTCTTCGTTGCTAAAGTTTTCTCGCAGAATATGATGTTCCTGAGTTACTGGCCAAAATTAATCTGTATGCTCCTGCCCGAACACTCCGTCCGAGAACCTTGCTACATGAAGTAGTATATGCAACCAACTATGCTGCAAACAGTTCCTTTGTCGCCATGATTCATCAATTCAACGAAGCCTCTGACCTATTTGACTTTGACATCAATGCCTCCAGGTTTCGTCATCGTTTGCTGTCGGCCAATTTTTAATTTTTAATGAGTGACTACATTTAGATTTAAGTGTTTCATTGAGACTATCAAGTCAGATGGACTATAATAATAATAAATAAATAAACTATGCTAAACGAGACATTCCTTAGGATAATGCTCTGATGCCCTGAAACAGATAAATACAGACATTTTCCAAAACTATCCAGCATTCACGTGCCACTCTGGAGTTTTGAGCGGTGAAATCTTCTGATGCTTCCGATTCTATTTAAGGTTTCCTGAACTTCCATGAACTTCTCTGGCCTTCTTAATAGCACTCTGGATTTTTCAGAAACTCTCCTCGGCTTCTCTTAAACACTTGTGAAGAGGCTTTCTGAGAATTCTCCAAACTTCTCTGAAGTTATCATAAACATCTTTGGAGATAGTTTTGGCTAACTTCAGAGAGATCCTGAGAACTTCAGAGCTGTTCAGTTGATTTCCGATCGGTGGAGCTCAGTTTACTTCGAACGAGTAAAATTCGGGGAGCAAAATGGATGTTTAGAAACCTGCTAACAATGCCGTAAAAGTTCTGAGTGGTTTTTTAGTCTTCAGGAGTTTTGAAGATACGTTCTGTGAACTTCAAGTAATTTGAGGTAAATTTTCTAACTGAGATCTAAAGAAAATTTGCTGATAAATAAAATATTTTCTAGAAAATCATAAATTAAAATGATGCTCGAATGATGTTATTAATTATGCATTGCTATATTGCTAAAATATCTCTAGGCAGACATAAATTTAAGACTTCATCTCCGTCCGGTTCGATGCGCCTTGTGCAACCTTATCCGCAGAATGTCAAAACTTGTTTTCAAATCTCATAGTGAGCAAGATGCCATTAAATCCCACACTTTGCAACAAACTCCAACTTGTCCTGATGCTGCCAGCTGCAGCTAATCCAGCAACCACCGAAAGCCATCTGACATTTATCTCGATCAATTTGCATTTATCTTTGTGCGACACCGTCGAAAAAAATACGATTAGAATAAGAACCCGTTTTCGACTGCTCCACTAATGGCAACATTTTTCATCCTCTTTTTTTTTCATTCCAGTTCATCGCCCGGTGGATATCAAGAACCGACCGCGCATCCCGATTCCAGACGAGGACCCATACAGCGTTGCCGGCAACGGCGGTGGCAGCTCGGGCAGTTCCGGCTTCGGCGCCAGCGGTAGCGGAATGGTGGGCGCCCCACGAGACCACCTGATGCAGGGCCAACCGGTTGGACAGCGCCGCAGTGAAAAACCACCGAAACTACCTCCGCGGGACAATCTATACGCATCACATGAAATCGTTAAGGTTCGTCACTTGACGGCGGTGCGTTGAAGTCACTCGCACCGAAATTCCGTCAACCATGGCTTAATTTGCGAAGCAAATCGGTTCTAACCTTCTTTCAAATTTGTTTGGGATTTTTTTTTTCTCAGCCGGACTACGACGACATTGAGGACGAGAACCGCGTCAAACTGCAGCGAGGAAAATCAGACAAAGGCAAAGATAATAAGAAATATGGTAAGTCGCCCGGTCTTTCCGACTTCCCTTTCACATTCCGCCCGATGCGGTCTCGATTATTATACAAATAAAACATATTTGTATATTCAGCTTAATTATGTACGCTCGGGAAGCCAGCCCAGAAGAATAAGATAGATTCCTTTGTCTACTAGTAGTGTAGTGGCTCCCTGCTCTCTGCTACCATGAACGAACGCATGGACTCTAGCGAAGGTCATCCCACGGAGAGCGCAGCTCATTGTCCGAACCTGAAAAAGGCTAGCCTATATCTCCAGCAGAAGACACTTTCCATGTTGTGGCACAAATATTTCTCCCATTTATATTTATTTAGCTTATCTCGGTCGGATGGAAAATATTGAATTGGGTTTGAAGAATTTGTTTCCCGAACAAACGCATTTTTCCAATGCAAAGCGATAAGAATGTGGCTGCAGCAACAGAACGGAGGAGACCTCCCGTCGGTCACCGTTGGTTGGTCGTTGGCCGATATCGGCGGCGAATGTTTCCATTTAATTAAATTTAGATTACACATTTTTTCGCTTACAATTGTTTCTGCTCGCTCGGTTGGTTGTTCGCCGCGACGATATCAGTGATTGCATTGTTATGGACTCATCTATGACTGCAAAGGTTCTGCTGCTGCTGCTGCTGCCGCCCACAGATAGACAAAACCAAGACGGCCAACAATAATCCAGATAAATATTTGGTTTATTCCAAGGCAGTGCGAGAGAGGCCATTGCTGGTATGAACGATTAAAACGATTAGTGCCCGGGCATTTTCCAAGGTTATCGGTTCAATGGAATGGAGAGTGGAGTTGTATCTAGGATGGAGAAAAAATGTAGCTATCGATGGTAACTTTCGATAAATAATTCTCATCGCTGTGGACTCATGCCTCTGATTCTAAATTTATATAGCAGGGCTTTTTAGTGACTTGGTCACTTTTTTTAAGTCAGTCACTAAAAAGTCTCCTTTATTAAGGCCAAGTCACTAAAGTCACTTTTTCTTGTAATAAGTCACTATTTTCAACTTTTTTAGCGTGAATTTATTTCAAGATTGATTATTCTTTGCGTTGTGACGTTTAATAGTCTTTCTCTATACACAGGATGTCTACTCATTTTTCTGGATAAAATTACCTGAGTTTTCCAAGTAAGTAAGTCCAAGATCTAAAAATGTTCAATGTCTTGAAGTTTCGTATTCATTGTAATTGAAAGAAGATATTGAAAATATTCAAAGTGCCAGAATTAAGTAAACAAATAAATGATTTATTTCAAGTTCGTAATTAACTTTTTGCAGCAATTGTAGGAACTTTGGAGAAGTTCTGAGAAATGAAAGGAAATGCTGAGAATTTCAGTGAAGCTCTATAAATAAACTGTAGGAACGTAAGGGAAGTTAACACGCTGAAAATATGCAAAACTCACTGGAAGCTGTAAGAACCTCAAAGCCTTTTATGAAGTTCCTAGAATTTCAGAGAACTTCATAGGTGTCAAGCGAACTCGAGAAATTTAAAAATAGTTCCAGAATGTGCTGAAAAACAAATCGAGAACCCTTCAGATGTTCCGCGAATTTCAGGTTTGTACAGAGACCTTCAGAGATTTTATGAAACTTCAGAAATATTTCAGAAACTTCACAGAAGTCCAATGAATTTCAGGGAAATTTAAAGGTGTTTACGGGAATTCTATTTATTTCCGAGCAGAACCGAGATCTTCAATAGAACTAAGAGCTTTATAGAAGCTTCGAGAACATCAAGACAGGTCAGAGAATCAAAGGGTGGTGCAAATAATTTCAAGAAAATATTAGAAACCTCAAAGAAGTTTCGAGAAACTCAGTGAATTTCCGAAAACTTCAGCAAAGCTCCGAGAGAATTCCTGGAAATTCAAATCCCCGGCAAACGTGAGAGTATTTTAAGGGTGTTATATCGTGGAGATTACAAGAACTTAAAAAATGCGAAAATTTAGCTAAGTTGATTAGAGAACATCAACGAAGAACTTTTAGCAAGCAGCGATATCTTTAAGAAATTCCAGAGAACTAAATATAGATATTTTTAGATAGTTTAATGATATTCAGCGAAGATACGAGTGCTTCGAGGACGATCAGATAGCTTCAGAATAATCCCATTAACTTAAGCAAATTTGCAGCGACTTACAAGGAGTTCCGTGGAATTTTAGGGTATTCCAAGAATTCTACGATTGATCCTAAAATGTCAGAAGCGTCAGGGAATTATGAATATATATCAGAAAACATTTTCGATACTCCAAGGCAAATTAATTGATTTCAGTAAAGGTGCGGGTTCTTAAAAATACTGATAAATTCAGGGCAGTCTAGAAAGCTTTAAAGAAATTCAGTAATCGTTTAGGCACCAGGAAAGTCTAGACTATTGAAGAAGTTTTAAATTAGTGTCGATAATTTAAGGAAAGTTTTATGAACTTCAGAAAAATCTGGAGAACTTCAGTGAAAATCATAGAACTATATTAATTATTTCGTTCTAATTCCATGAAAATTGCGGGAGAACAAAAGTTCCATAAATTCTCGAAAAACTTCGGAGACTTCACAGGAGGACAGTGGTATTCAGAAACAAAAAAAATATTTATTTTTTAAGTTTATTTCTTACTGAAGATTAATCCACTGTGAATCTTTAAAGTTCAAAGTGTAAATGAAAGTAACTAATACCGTGGGTTTGGTTATAAGCTTTCTATTGAATTTTTTGCTTTAAAGATTCATATCGTACATAAGTGTTTATGAGATAATTATTGAATAAGTCTAAAACATCAAACATTTATTTGATGCACCTTCTCTTAGGTCACTTTTTAGTTACTATTTTTACAACTATAAGTCACTATTTGGTCACTTATTTATTCAACATGGTCACTAAAATCACTATTTCTGACAGCAGTGATCGCTACCAGCCCTGATATAGGGGATATGGATGTAATGTCGGCCTAAATGCCCATAATTTGGGTCCATACATGAATTCAGCAATCGACTAAATTTTCAATAGCGACCAAAAATATCCATTAGTACCGTCTCAATGACGCGTTCATCTAGATAAAATTGATAAATAGCATATTTTCAGCGATGGACCCAATTTTAGATCCATAGGCCAACATTAGAGCCATTTCCCCTGTATTATTATTTTATTTATTTGAAATCTAAATTAATAATTAGGGGAAATGACGGCTTCGGCATAACAGACTATTTTCGGCAACCCAAATTGAAACACTATTTGCACTAGATTTTCATATGAAAACACTTCGCTGAATGCATGCAAACGATTCTTAATGCTTTCAGCTTCAATTTGACTATATTTTTACCACTGAGAAAAAGCAATCTAGCAAGCTTTTCTTGAAATGAATCACACGCACTACAAATTGTAGCTGATTTCGAATTGCCGATAATAGAACAGCAGATTTACATGCAGTTCAAATGGAACGGTTGCCGAAGAAAAACTGGTTGCCGACAATACTCGCTCTGACTAGAGAAGATTGGAGCCTTGTAAAAGCGTTTCAAAACAGTTTTTGAAAATTCTTTCGACTGAAATTGTTAGAGCAGCTGGCAGCAAAAGATTGTAAACAAACCAATAATTCATATGTCTGCGTTCGTTAGAGAAAAAGGCTATAGAAAGAAGGTCGCTGCTTAGGTTGCCGAGAATACGTAAATTCCCCTATTACCCTTTCACTTGCTTTGCAGTTGTTCGCCTCCTTCACTCGCATTAATTTTGTCAACCCAACCCAACTAACAACTAATGTTCAATACGACATGAGTGAAAACAACAAACCGGATTGGATGCGATAAAATTAAATCTGGTTGCCTAAAGTTCCCTCACCAAAATTTCGTTTCGAGAAAAAAGAGCTTATTTTCCATGTGTACTTTTTCCACTGACAAACCGACCTGAAACTTAAATTTAACTTTTGCTCGGAAATCTATAACGGCCAATTCAAATGTGCAGCGATCCACTCTGTCAAAACCATAGAAATGTTTTATCTCGATAACAATAATTTGTTCCGAGTAGATCAGAAACGAATCAACTCATCAATTTTGCACGCACAGATATCCGGAGTGTGCTTTATGGTGTGTTTACATCGAGGTTTACATCTGTGCAGAATTGCTAGCGCTAGTTACCTAGCCAACTAGCATGAATTTCAATTGCTCCTGAAATTTCATGCTGGTAGACGCTGATGACCTGTTTACATTATGCTGGTGAGCTTTTTTGCTCATTAGCGCTAGTGAAATAGCATAAGTGTAAGCACCCTATTAAGCAGAGATTTCATGGAAATTTCTATGGTCATTCATGCCGGTTTGCTTTTTCCTTACTGTGTAGGTAAAAAAAATACAACATTCATTTGTTACGATGAATGGACGACACAAAATTCTGCATTCAACTAAGTATTTAGCATCAATGTCTGTTCTAAAGTCTCCTCCCAGACATAAAACCATTTCAGGTGAAATCGGCCCCTCAGCATTCCCATAACGACACAACTTTTCATCGCTCAACTGAATCATGATCATACGTACCATAAACCTTGTTTTTTTGTCATCAGACAGAAGTCCCTAACGGTTAAGCGATTGCCATCGCGCTTTTGCTGCCCATTCACAAGAAACCACGGTTCCCATTTGCGCTGGTCCGCTATCAAATTTCTATGAATCAGAACACGCGCATTTCGGGTGAATTTTCTGTGTTTGCATTTGAGCACACCGTTCATAATTAGTATTCAACCGGTATCGGCAGCCTGTGCACAGCGAAGAACCATTCTTTCCCAATGTCCAACCCGTGTGCGTGATCGGCATGGTCAATTTTAGAAGCATGTGCTAGAGAGAGAGAGAGCGAATATACGAGAGTTCAACAGACCATGGGTAGCAGAAGCTAGGTCAAGTGGATTCTTGTGCTAATTGTTCTGACTCGTTCCAGATGATCCTTACTACTGTGGACTGCGGGCCCGTGTGCCAAACTTTGTCAAATCGTCCAAATCGAAGGAGAACAACAACAACAGCAACGTAGCCAATAACAACAGCAACATCAAGGACAACAACACTGCTGCCGCCGTTTCGAAGCGTCTCTCGATTGCCCATTTGCAGCATCCGTCGTCGCTGCAATCGCTGCACCAGTTGCACCAGATGCACCCCCATCACAACCTGATGGCCGCCCACCAGCACCACCAGCAGCTGATGTGGCACGCCAGAAGCTACGAAAGTGGAATCGGTAAACTGTGACACTGCGCGCTATCACCCCCATAATCCAAGTAACCTGATTGTTTTGATTCCCCCATTGCAGATACCGACGTCGTTGAGTCACCCTATAGTCACATGTATGGCCGTGTCCCGTTGCCAACGAGGGGTTACATTCCGGCACCGCGAGCCATGTACATCGGCGAATGGGATTAGGTCTAACCGACTGCGGCTGGCTGGCTGGGTGGGTGCATGCGCTTTCACCCGTTCCAAATCTATAAAAAAAAATCAAAAACAATCAACTAACCGCTCGAGACTAAACGTAAAATAATTACACACATAAATACGGATATGTGCAACTATGCTGGAGCTTCCCGTTTCATCGTTTACCGGTCGTTTGTCTGTCGGGTTTCCTACGATTCCGACAGACCGAGAGAGAGAGACAGTTGCCGCCCGCTATGGCACTTCCGCTTGTTTCCCTTTTCAAATGAAATGAAAATGGAAATTTGCGTCCGGTTTCTTTACTGTCACGCTCTTCACGTCTTTTAATTCCTGTTTTCTCTACTTAGTTCGTAAGTGAATGACTAGTTTTGTTTTTAGTGTAAATAGTTATGAGTGAGAATTTAGAAAAAGAAAAGAACTTCAGCTCCCGGTGGAGTCGATAGGCACATTATTGCGAGAAGAGGAAAAAACAAACTTTATTCTACCAAAAACTATTTTGTATGAAAAAGATTGTGAAAAAAAAACATATTAGGTACTTGCATGTTGAAACAAAAATTGGAAAGGAAAATATTTCCTGGAATAAAAAAAAAGTCTATTCGACCCACCGTGTCAGCTTAGGTTATATAGACTTGTACGACTTACGCAAGCAAACTTCAAACTACAAGAGAACCAACATCACGTTGACACGATACTGCCATTCATTCATATTTTTTTATTAACGTTTATTGTTTATTGAAAGTCTTTGAGTTAGTAGATTTTTTTTCGGCGCAAACATTCAGGACGAAACGCACAAATACGAGTAGAAAAAAAAACTAAGTGTGTGTGTGTAAATACAAGAAAATAAATAAAGTGAGAATATTTAAAAGTGAAGAGACGAAATTTTTGTTGAAAAAGTAATTCTTAGCCCTGGTGTAAATATTGAAACTGTCAACTTTGTTATTGATTAAGCGAGAAGACAAGAAAACCACTGATGTCTAATCATACTTTTAGACACGGAATATTTTAGTAGCTGTCAATAATCGTTCATTTTTGAAACAGCCTTAATCCCCGTACACAGCTGTACTTGTATGTTTTAAGTTTTAACTCTCGCCTGCTAGTGTTTACTCCTCTAGCGTTAATTCAGACAGGAATGATTATTATTAACTACAAATGTGTGGGCATTGACAGACAAAATCAGTGTTCCCAGGTTAAACAGTAACAGCTTCCAAAAATCAGAAAAAATGTATAGGAAAAATTAGAGTTTTGGAAGCCAAAAACCAATTACGATGATATAATACTCAGAAAACAAAACTCGTGTACACGTCTGTTTTTATCCACTTTACTCTAGTAACAATCAGCGCACATTTTGACAGTCACGGGCCTCTTAAACGTCGATGACCTTGAACCCCCCTAACCTCAAAATTTTTCAAAAACTAAATTATACCTCCCTTTTCTTCCCCTTTCTAAACTATCGTCCAAAATTTCTCACACCTTACCACTGTGATTGTTTTGAGACTTTCCACATTTTTCTCGCAAAAACGTAAATTTGGTTAAGACACACACACACACACACGCACGACCAACAACAAATCAATCAATCAAAGTGTAAATACGCACCGAGTTGCAGGAGGAATGTCACACCGTGCTTTTTTTTTTATTCCACACCCACCGAACGCGTGTTCGCTTCCTGCCAACACCAACTTGGAGATTCCGATCTACGGTTACGCCATATTCAACCGCGGCGACATGGGTGAGATCGGAATTTTCCCCTACAGTACAGTTGGATGGTAGACTTCCCAAGTCCTCAAGATTCGATAGGCTTTTGCAATTAGCTCCCTTTGTTTGGCACCCACAGATTTGGCTTTCCGTTAACTAGTCCTCCTGCACAGAACTGAGCATCATACCCTAACAAGGTCTAGAGGGAATTATACAGGTCATTGACATTTGCCACTGTACTGTCAAAATGAATCGACGATGGTTTTGTTTAGAGACGTTCTTGTATAAGAGAGGAGCAGATTCAAAACAAACTGCCTTGGCAACCTATGCCTAGGTGATATCTAGCAACACTGCCAATGCAATCAAGATATTGGTACTGGCTTTGACAGTTCATTTGGCTCCTCTCTTATATCAAACACTCTCTAGTTTTGTTAACTTTTAAATGCATATTTAACATTAATACTAATCAAGTCTGCCAGGCATGAGATTGCAATAGCCTACTGCCGTTGTAATAACAACAACAAACCTTTCTATTTCTAATAATAAATTAAAACAGCCACAGCAATCCTTTGTTTGTGTTTGTTTCTTTTGTAAATTTAATCCTAGACACAGACGTACATGCGTTTTCCTCCCCCATTCTCCTCTAAATATACGGTAGATTCGTATGGAAAAGATTAGTTAGTTGTACTATAATCGGAGTAAAGATGCACTTGATTTATGAGGAGACCAACAGTTCTATGGTCTTTCATAGAACCGAAAGACGTTTTGTTTTAACCAAGAAAATCGAACGAGAAGGAAATTTGATATTTAAAGTAAGATGGCGTTTTGGACATTGGTGAAAGGGTCGAAATTTCTTTTGATTTAGAAAAACACATACACACACGCATACACACAGAATACAGAAACGAAAACTGATGACGAACACCTGCCCCAACGGCGAATGTAAAAAGGAAAAATACAATTTTTCAATAACTTCAAACTCTGCTCATACAGATCTAAGTATATGTAGAAGAAAACAAACCTGTAACGTTTAGAAAACACACATATCTAATATCTTCACCTCTGTTTATATTTCATAGTAAAAGTGTAATCGCATCAAGTAATTGTCTATATAAACGGAAATTACTAAATATTCTCACACAACAACAACAACTACAAGCCCGATTCATTCAGTGGATGTAGTAATCCGGCAAGATTGAAACACTTAAAAGCTGCAAAGCAAAGCTAAATAAAAAAAATACAGAACAACAGGATGCAATACACAAACATATACAAACACATATGAATGATACATTAATTATTATAATAGCGATTGATATTGAATGTTTATGACTCTTAGTGAAAAACGACGAAGGAAGATGATTAGAAGAAGACGATGAGAACTTATCAAATGAATTGAATATAAAAAAGTATTTTAAAAATAAAGTTAAAAAAGACAACCAACCAGTGGGTTCCGAAATGTTTTCCGAAAGAAAGCCCGATCGCCCGTTGCAATCGATAGTTAGGTAGGTTGTCAAATTTTTCAATTCATTCACAATATGCCTCCAAAGGGAAATAATGTAAACTAGTTACAAAACGAAAACTTGAAACAAAATAGGGTGCAGCACTACTACGGCCTATGGGACATCGTCCTAATGGCTGTCAAGAAAACGGTGAAGGCACTGCAAAGAAAGCTTATTTAGGCCATCACCTACGTATCGGCATGGACCTCGTCGGCCGGCTTCCAGCTATCCGGTACTAAGAGCGAATTCACCCACATCTGTCCGATAAAACACCAAGTCCTTAGCACCAAAGTCTGCATCAAAGAAGACCTAATTCCGTTTCGGAAAACGATCTGAATCCTCGGGGTCTGCTTTGACCGACATCTCACCTTCGACACACACTTCAACGATGTCAAAAAAGGATGCAAACAGCGTATGAACCTGCTCAAAACTCTAGCGGGACGACATCCAAATGCCAACCGAAGATCCCGACTGAACGTGGCGAAAGCCATCATCAACTCACGCCTAACCTACGGAATCGAAGCTACGTTCCTTGCCAAGCCCCGATTGATCGAAAAGTTAGCGCCGGTCTATCAACAATCTCTCCGAATCTGTTCGGATATTTTGCCAGGTACCCCCGGAATAGCTGCTTTCATCGAAGGAGGACTGCTCCCCTTTGATTGATTCATCTCCAAAACTATCTGCCAACGAGCCATCGGACTTTACCAGCAGACATCAGGAGACGACAAGGAAGATTCCCTCCTCACGGAAGCGAACAATTCACTCAGGGAAGCATCCAACCCGACTCTAACCCCCAATATCCAAGGTTTACTGGGTCGGAGCGAGGGGTTGGAACAAGCCGAAGATTCTGACCGACCACACAATCAAAAAACAATTCAGTGCCAAACCATCATCGGTGGCACAAGCGGTACTCGAACTCCAGAACCGGAAATAAAGAGGATACACCATTCGGTACTCGGATGGCTCGGTAGCCCAGGGAAAGGTAGGAATCGCGATTTTCGGTTCAAACCTCGCGGAATGCCATAGACTCCCGGATCAGTGCTCCATTTTCTCTGCGGAAGCCATTGCCGCCTTCATTGCAGCCACCATTCCCGACGACCGACCAATAGCCATCTTCACCGACTCCGCTAGTGTGGTAGCCGCACTGGAATCCGATACGAGCAAACACCCTTGGATCCAGGCTATACAGGAACACGCTCCAAACAACACCGTCTTTGTGTGGATACCTGGACACTGCGGGGTCCATGGTAACGTAAAAGCGGATCAACTAGCCAACTCAGGTCGTTGTATGGCCAAGTACACGCGAATTGTACCTGGTCCGGACCTCAAAAAATGGGTATCAAAAATCACCAACGAAGGTTGGGCTCTCGATTGGGCGGCCAGTGAAACCCCTCATCAGAAAAATTAAAAGAGACATCTCCAGGTGGGCGGACCCACCGATACATCGAGAGCAGGTCATAGGACCTTTCCATAGGATCTGTGATCTATGACGAATTCCACAAACGGTGGATCACATTATCTGCCACTGTCCGAAATACGAAGCACCAAGAACCCGATACGACATCCCGGGAAGCATCAGCGATGCCCTCGGTAACGATCCTACCAGAATTTCAGCCCTTTAAGCTTTCCTGCGGGAAGCTGAGCTGTTCGATCTAATCTGATCACCTAACTCACCATCATCGTCATCACCACCATACCCGATCACACTCGGAACCAGAATCTCACAACTAAACACCCACATCAGCAACTATACAGACCAACGCAACGAAAACGGAATTCTCCAACAAAATGACAGTATTAAGACAGCCACTAAGCAACTAAGGGACCCCTCTCGGAGCCCCACCCTCGGAGGTTCCCTTCCAGGGCCACCAAATTAAAAACTCCGTAGCTAAAAACTCTGTTTCTGGGGCCCCACGCCCTTTATCGGAAATCCCCTCTGGGATCCAAACTATGTTGTTAGGGTAATTTCCCTCTGGAATTCCCACCCCCCTCAAATAGGGGATTCCCCACACGGGAAAAAATTCGATTCCATTTTCATGAATAAAAAATCATGAAATGAAAAAACTTGCCATCCCATGAAATCGTAACAATGATTCATGATTTCGTCATGGAAATTCATGATTTCATAATGCAGTGGAATCAAGACCGCTACAAGCGTTACACGTACTTGGCAAACCGTCTTCATAAACCGCACTACATAGGTATCTCTTATACGCCTTTTGTCTTCCAACTTATACAAGTACTGATAGTCTAGTGGTAAAAGTATGGGTTTAGTGATCTCAAGGTTCTTGGTTCGAATCCAGTCTGATGCTTTATTTTATTCTTTTTGCATTTTTTGGTTAAAAGTTAAACCCATGAATTTAGCTCATGATTTCAACTCGGATGATTCATGATTTTGGGAATATTTGCTGCGTTACGCAAAAGTTGCTCATGATATCATGAATATTATTCATGGTGTATTTTCATAACATGAAAATACGCTGTGTTCATGAAATCATGAGTCATTTTTCTCATTTCGGAGATCGGATTTTTTCCCGTGCATCTGGGATTCCCAGAGACGAACCAAACCAAGGCTGAAAGTCTCTTTAATAAAGAAAAAAAAAATACTTCATCACTATTGAAAAATGATAAAGTTTTCGGTTTTGATACAGTTGTCATTCTTGCCTTCATCGCAAGGTATCGATTCTAACTGAAAGGTCCCGCTATTTATACCCTTCGGAGTGTTGAAACACCCTCCAAAGGCGCGCCCCTTTGTCAGTCAAAATTGGATTCCTTAGCAACAAAAATAAGTCATGACACCGATAATGTCCATGCATCAGAACCCTAGTCTTAACCATGCAGTTCAAACTACGGAAACACGAATAGAAGATTAGGAATCACATAGGTGAAGACTAACTAATTCATTTTTCCTTGTTTCAAGATCATCCTCGGTCCAGGCAATCCGAGGACTTATCACTATCAACAAGGCATAAAAAGTAACAAGGACTAAGATGTGTTCCTTTGATTGCTGAAAAATCCCGTCCCGTGACGTACCACGAAAAGGTGATCTACCCACGTTACTATCTACGTTACGGTAATCTACCCACGTTCTCCTTAATAGTCACTTTAAGTTCTCCTCACAAATCCTTTGAATGCTCCTCACAAATCCTTTGAATGCTCCTCAAAATCACTTGGCAATTTTAGTCAGATCTCATGTCGTTTTTGTTTTGACTACACTACACCGGTGTAGTGTAAGCAGAAATAAGCGCGAGTCATTGACAGCTCATCATCATTTCAGTGCCAACATTTCAAAGGGGCGTAATTGCATTTGTAAACAATGGCTTTAGCCGTCGATTTCTCGTGAATAAAAGCTCACTCATTAAAAATAATGACACCAGCAGGTAGAGGAATGTTTCCTCTACCAGTTAGCATTGTCATTTGGGAGAGGTGAGATTTCATTCGCGAGAAATTGACGGCTCAAGTCATTGTTTACAAAAGCAATTACGCCCCTTTGAAATGTTGGCACTGATTTGTTTGTAAACAAAGGTACAATCGATATCTACACACACAAATTTTTCGGTGTACGACGGTGTAGCACCGGTGTAGCTACACCGCAAAAACGAAAACGACATCAGTGTTCTCTTCGGAATTGCCTTGAAAATCTTGGCATCCTACTCTGTTCGGATCACAATCAATAGTCAAAATGTTGATAATCTTTCCATCCATTATATTTTGTAAATAATACAAATTAAAACTTTCCTATAGTATATTTACCTTAACCGTACTAACACCAATTACACCACACATCACGCCCACCCTCACGCATCCCGATCGGCCACCCCGCCAAACAGCGCATTACACACGTGATTTATCTTCTGCAGAAACATCTGCTTCATGTAGTGTGCATTCGGACTGTTCATCAACCCAATGGCAAACAGCATTAGAAAGTACCCTCCCGCCATTAGCCAACTCTTATTGGCCGCTATCCACCTTACACATCGACTGGGTCTCACTCTCTCCGCTGTCCTCGGATGTCCCACTCGTTGCCGCGGCTGCTCGAATTGACCGCTCACCGGTGCGGATCCCACATTACGATTACTCCCGTAAACCAACAGATACCGCACCTGCACCAGCTCATTGTTCTTCACCAGAATGTACTTTTCCGGAATGTCCGAGCTGGAGTTCTCCTCCTGACACTTGACGTATACCGGATTATCTACGTACTCGCACAGCGCCGTACAAGCCAAATGACTACCAATTGCCGACCTGGACCAGCCCGCTCCGGTCGGGGCAAACATCTGACTCACGTGCAGCTCAGCCGACAGATAGATTCCTTCTCCAAAGAGGGCAGTCTTGTTCAGATGCTGCTGTAAGCCATAGCTCAAAATTGAATAAAAGTTAAACAATTTGCTACCGTGGTACGCGTAGTACGATCTGAACTGGTCCAGGTTCTCCCGAAACCGCCGCTCCGAATGAGCATCTTCTCGGTAGACTACTTCGAAAATTTGCTGCGGCCGCTGAAACGCGGCCAAACAGGGCGCTTTGGCAAATACGACATCAAAGTCCGACTTTGGGACTGTTCGTAGCCCCGGGTTGGATTGCTTGCAGACAATCCAGTGCAGTAAATGCAGCTGTTGATTAGCTAAAGTAGCAATGTTCAAGTCCTTCAGAGATTGCAGACCATCCAGTACTCGATTCTGCGGAAACAAACCAATCAGTAACGATTACGTGTACTTATCGTGAATGACTATACGACGCTCTTACCAATTCGTCGATGTTCTTTTCTTTGTTAGCGATATAATCCGGTGGGAATGGTTGAAGGCAAGAGTCGTATTTGAACGACCGGGCAGCGGACACGAATAGTGAAACACGAAGATCCGCTGCCAATGGATCCCGATCGATAAATTCTTGCAGGGTGGAACGCTTGCTGTCCACAGAAACGGACTGCTGGATATCCATTACGCTTTGGTTTCAATTCAACACTGAAATACGGCTTATCTCTCTCAATACGAACGATGTATATGCACACTGAAAGGAGCAATATTACGAACGAAACATAACACTTTCTGTAATGCAAAATCTGATAAGCGCTGATAAAGTTTATTTTCGTTTTATGAAGGAGGGAGTAAATTTAACCAAACAAAGCACTGTCATTTGACGGATTACAATGTTTGGTGAGAAAAACGGTGTCGTCATTCATGATCGAAAAGCCAAACATTAAACCCAGAGCAAGGTGACTACATATAGGTGTTCTAATGTGTCAAATTCATGATTCAGCAATGTTGGATTTTTGTATGGGACAGCGACCGAGTTTGTTTACAATTTGCTCTAAAACCGCACTTTTCCCCCCCACGACCTCCTCGCCTATATAGTGACAAAGCTGTATCACCATTTATATACCCACCATGACCCAGAGTTAAATCTAGATTGTGTTCCATTTGATGGTGAATTTTCCACGGGGGCACCCTAATAAAAAAAAATACTATAAACGAACGATCGCCCATATGATAAATAGAGCTATTCCACATATGGTTTGGATGATACCAAATTTTTTATAAGGGCAACAATCAAGAATATAAGGTGATCCATGAGACGTTTCGCAGACAGCTAAAAAGCTGTGAGTGTGTGAGTAATCTGAAGTTTCCGATGCACGATGTAAATATAAACAAAGCTATTTTCAATGGGAAAGATCTGACAGTTCATCTATGATCTGTCAAAACTCCTCAGTAAACAAAAAATCAGCTGCTATTACATCAATATGTCATACATCATCATGAATTACGTTGGTTGATATTAGTTCCTCGCGAAAAAAGCAAAAATATTGCATTCAAGACCATATTGATGAATTGCCACCTAAAATTATTTAATTTTTGTTCGGTTTAATTATCGTCACGTTTAAATAAAATACTTCCTGAGTGGTGTGAAGTCGATAACTATCGATATTCAAGTTATTTTGCTTGAAAAATATTCATTATAGTGCCCCTCAACGCCAATCACAAATTGGTGCCTTTTTTACAAGGCCAAAATGAGAACTCATTTGTGACTTTCTCACTATTGATGGTTGAGTCAATATTTTGTAAAGTTTGGAATAAGCTTTAAAATGGTTATCAAGTAAGAAACTGATCAATATCACGTCAAACGCTCAAATATGCTTTTGCTGCTTTTTCTCAAACCCGTTTGTTGTGATGTTTAAGTTTTCTTTGTTGAGGATGTTTACAATCATTATTAATGAATCGCACTTTTTCATTGGTATAAACAAATTTGGCCAGCCTTTAAGATACACTTGTCTTATTACCATACAATTTTATTTAAGAATCAAATGTTGAGAATTGATCCTAATACTTTATCTTTTGAACGCATCTGTTAAAGAGGTGAAAGCCCTGGGGCTGGTCCTGACGACAAGACCCTCGCTGGATTTTTTGACAGCACCAGTTGGATTTTTTTGACAACCATTTCGAAAGGCTCTGCACCACTCAGAATACTTCCAACACATTGATGAATAAAGAAACAGTAATGCTCGATTGGGGTCTGCAAATGACAGGTCAAATAGTTTATTTTACGAAATAACAGGAGCTGGTATGTCTGTCAGAAAATGATGGTATTGATGTTGCTTCCAAAGGGCAGGCCAGATGTACTCAGAGTTAATATATGCAGCGAGTAAATTTGAGTAACTCATGATTACTCAAAATTGATCAAAGTTGGCGAAAACGAGGTCGTACAACAAATAAAAAATAAAACTGTTTGAATAAACATCAACTGTCAGAGTGATCTTTTTCAAATTAATTTATTATAATGATACTAATACTCCAGTCTTATTTAATCCATTTACAGCCCACTACCTTTATATCGAAGACATCATATCCAGAAGACTGGCAACTTTGCCAGAATCCAAGCGATAGAAACAATACCGCTGCGCTTGAGTTGAGGAAGCAACTTGATTTGTTGTCTTCGTTTATATGTTAAGTATTGGAACAAAATATGAGCAGGATGTGTGATTTTAAGATTATCCAAGCTGTACATCCAATCCAAATCAATCCATCCACAAAGATCCTTCGCATCCGTTTAAAGTTTTGAGAAATCATTTGAAGGGTCTAAATATGATATTTTAGCATGTATTGTATGGTTAGCTTAGGGAATCGTAGAGTCAAGCGGTAGCTGTTGGGCATGAGTGGATAATAAGATAGAAAATTAGCTAGTTATATAAATAGCTCCGGAGAATATTCCAGGAATAGTGAAATAATTTTCGAAACATCAAGCAAGGTATGCATTATGATGGGTCGTTTATTTTTCTAGAAAATTAGGGGTCCACAAATTTTAACTGTAACTTTACGCAATTCAAACTACTATGATTAAAAGCTGACTTGCCCCTAGGTTGCTTCTTACTCCTACACTAATAAAAATTCAATTATGCAATGTGATAAACAAATGATATATATATGTGTCTGACACATAGTTCTTATGTGTACACATACAGTACTGCATTAGTCAAATTTCAGAAAATTGTTTCGTATAACTTTAGCAACTTAAAGAGAACATCGATGAAGAAATTCGATCATTATAGTAAAGCAGGATTCACAATGCAGCGTCACCGTCAGCGTCTAATATGAATCTGATCAAAATTGATGGACTGATGAAGCATCGATGTGAAGTCGCCAAGTAGAGATGTGGGTACATGGACAACCATACCAACTCAGTGACTGAGAATAATTGACTAAGAGAATTTTCTTTCCATACGAAATTTACTCAGATTTGGAATAAGTGCAGTTACCAAGGGGTAGGTCACTCCGCACACCAATCTTGGGTCATCTTTTTTGTCAGTGTGCCGCAAGTAAGCCGATTGTGCCGGTCATAGAGCAAGCTGTGATCGTTTGTAAAATACCCATCCCGGTAACCCGGTATTTCTGACAGCTTGAATGTTATGGTTTGAAAGCAAGCATAAATCGGATTGAGGACGACGCAGGAAATGGCGAGTGTGCGAAATTTTGGTGTTTTGTGTTCATAGGATAGTAAAAGTCCTGTGTTTTAGAGTTTTATAATGCCATCAAAAGCAGAGCAGAAACCTAGCCTTTCGTGATGTAAAAAGCAACGGTCTATCAGCGGCTGAAAAGAGTTTGAACCGGTGGGGAACACTAGGGGAAACATTGTTGGAGACCGACTATGGAGGATGATGAATAGACTTCTGTAGTTTGTTTTGTGTGAGATGTAGCATTATTTGAATTAAGGGTACTAATGAGGTCTGATTAACTGCCTCTTTCTCTTGAGCCCACTCTAGAACCTATATTTCGTATTAAGATCTATAATTGAACTGCTGGTCTGAGTTCCTTTGGTATATTCAATTAGAGGATGTTTCTGAACATGCAGTCAAACAGCACGTAATGTTGTGAACCACTTCAATGACAGCACTGCTGGACAGCTCCCATTTTATTCACCACAATCCAATGCCTATGAGATTGTGCCTAAGGTTTGCCGAAGATCTGCCGAAGGTATCCCGAAGGTGTGCCAATGGATGTGCCCAAGCTGTGCCGAATCTAATTTTAGCACAATGTGCTGAGTTGGCAGTTACTCATAAGCTATGAGTAACTGCACTTCTTCCAAATCTGACTAAATTTCGTATAGAAAGAAAATTCTCTGAGTCAATTATTCTCAGTCACTGAGTTGTATAAAAGAAACTTGACATGCGTTACACCTGTCATTTGACGGACCAAAAAAAAAATTGTGGGTTCCGCTTCATACCTCGTACAGACTATGGCTTATATCATGTAATATAGGCTGCCTTGCAATGAGCACTCATTACATCTAGTTTTCAGTGGAAATCCTTATAGTACGTTCAGACTACAGAGTTATAACATGTTATAGCGCTATCTTGATGGTGGTTTCTGTGTTGCAATTAGTTGACAACCGTTATAACATGTTATAACTCTCCAGTCTGGACAGCGTTTTATACTACGTTCAGACTATAGAGTTATAACATGTTATAGCGCTATCTTGATGGTGGTTTCTGTGTTGCAATTATTTAACAACCGTTATAACATGTTTTAACTCTCCAGTCTGGACAGCGTTTTAGAGTCGGTGTATAATGAGTCACGCCAAGAGAAAAACAGTGGAACTCGCATCACGGTTTTCAAAAGAATGCCTTCTCTTTCACTTGGCAACAGAGGATTTATGCATCAACTTCAAAGGACTTCTAGCGAGAAATTAAATTACCGGCTGCAGTAAATCATTATACTAGTGATTTTGTTGGATTAAATCAGCAACATATATTACAAATTCTCATTACTGATCATTACCAAACGAATCTAATTACAATTTAAATGCTCACTGCGTGTTTATGGTCATTTCTTCGATTAAATTTTTATATATTATTGCAATACCTTTCGTGTAGCTTTCATAGCATCGTAATGTTTATTTATTTTGCACGATAAGTAGCCAGTTTGACAGTTCAATAGGTAGACTTGGCTTCACTCTTGGTGTGACTCTAGAAATCCTATGTATGAGTGCTCATTGCAATGCAGCCTATATTACATGATATAAGCCATAGTCTGTACGGGGTATTATCAACAATCAATACGAAACTAACGATTTTAAATTGGCTCACCACTTTAGTAGCCTATTGATCCCAAGCAAACGATTAACGTACCCTATTCTAGTTGAAATTCTAGTACTACGCAATGTTTGTTTTGTTTCGCTATGAAAGTTTGACAGATAAAATGAGGGGTTATTGGTTTTACCTATGTTTCGAGGGGTGATTCGACAAGCTTGGGACCGAAGATAGTACCAGAGGTGAGCCAAAAAGTTGAGCACGTTGTCGGATTTCCCAGATTTCTCCATCTTTTCAATCTGTAAATTGATGCACACAACTAAACTGAACTGTTCTTGTTCACGTCTGTCTCAAAACTGATCAAGTTATCCTCTCTCAGCTCTCAATTTCCATGGAAGCTTTCCCGTTTGCGATGCTTTAGCTACGTGTTTTCTCAGAGACATACTACAATTACAGCTCTCAATTTCTATGGAAGCTTTCCTGTTTGCGATGCTTTAGCTACATGTTTCTCTCAGAGACGTACTAGAATTACTCTAGCGCTTTTGAGAGATTAGTG